TACAGAATGAAAGGTTAAAAAAAAAAAGCCCCGAGGCAAAATGTAGATGAATAGAAACAGGTTAAATTAAGTTAAAAGAGCTAGCAAGACATAAGCTAAGGTTAAACATTCATAATTAATAGTAAGTCTCAGTGTCCTTATTTGGGAGCCTGGGGATGGGGAAGAGCTGATGAGGTTTTCAATGGGGAATCCAGTGACTTAATTCATGTGAGGATCTACAGTGAGGTTCCAGGCAAATGAAAGACCTGTACCGTGTGTAAGGGAAGCCCATGTGGAGGACGGACCTGTGTTCAGATATGGCTGAGCCCCGATGACATTTCATGAGGGCCATTTTTATCTTTCTCTAAGAGGGGCCTATGTTAGGGAGGAGGAGAGACTACCTAGGTGAGCGCAAGGATGTAGAGAGGAGGAAGGAAGGGCCTTGAGAAGGACGCTGTATAATAGCAGGAAGGATAAACAGCACAGGAAGACTCCATTGCTCTGGGTGTTCCATGACATTTGTATCACTTGCTCTTTTAAGACCCTGATACTGTTAACACTGCTTTATAGACAGGAAGACAGAGGAACCTAAGGACCCCAGCACACTTGCCTCTCAGGAAGCAGAGATGAGGTCCCTATCAACTGTCTGCTTGTTACAGCAGGATCACCGTGATCCCGGCTTGCTTGGCTTCCTTTCCTAAGTCCAGTTCCCAGAGCCGGTGTCAAGCCATCTATGTCCAGCCTCTTCTCTCCCAACCCTCGCTCAACTCAGAGTACCTTTTCATGTTCTACATCTGGGAAATATGAACATTTTGCTCAAATTCAGTCTGCATGCCTCTGGAGGAGCTAAGTACCCCAGCCTATAGTCATCACAGTAATCACTCCCTCCTATGTAGAAACAGCTGAGCCCCTCGCCTGCTGTTTGACTGGCCCTGAACTTGTGGGGTAGGCCTGGCCTCCTCTGCTCTGTATGGGCAGAATTGGCAATGGACCTGGATGTCAGGAAGAGAAGCAAAGGCCTAAAAATCAGGAGGCCTGTCTGCCCTGCTCATTTCTGTGAGAGGGACCAGTGGAGGGCTAGAAGCACCTGTGCCTCTGCCTCCCTGTCTGCTGCTTCCCTCACCATAGTTGGCCACGAACAGAAAAGTGGCCAAAAAAAAGCATGTATTTTGTGGAGTATCCTGTGTTTTAAAGGAGATTTTATTGATCTGACAGTGACGGTCCATTAAGGATCAATGGTTGATAAAGTGAAATATCACAAGATCAGGGACTCTCTGAGAGAAACCCACAAGTATAAAATATAGAACCCAGAGACTAAGAATACGGGGTTGAACATACCCACAACATATCAAAACTGTCCATGACTATCCTCCTAGCCAAACAACTCCCATCTTTGGAAGCTTGGCTGCTTGCAAAAGATCACCCCAGCTGGGTCTGTTGACTCTAGCCATCCCATTCTATCTGCCATATGCAATTCTCTCTTAATTGCACAGGGCCTCAGGGAGGGGCTTGAGTATATAGGCCAGGGAAGATAGGCAGGAAGGAGCTCCATCTATGACCGTGGGAAAACCGTCATCCCTCCTGAGTGAAGACTTTTGGTAGGGAGCACCCATACCCCTCGCCTATGCTTCATAAGTAAATCCAACAAACTCATTGGTTCCCCCGAGTGAATGCTGGTGGAATCATGCCTCAGTTTGTGTTTGAAACCTCAGGAGGAGGAGGCAGTGGTTTACATATGCCCCTAGGAAGGAAGTTTAGCAACAGAATCACCAGGCTTCTCCTCTTATTCCAGGAGCTGCTCAGATTTCAATTTTGAGAACATAAGGATAACTGCTTGCTACTGCCCTAAATTAATTTCTTTCTCCATTTTGGGATTTTTTTCCTGTTGATTAAGCCGTAAACTAAGCTGGGACACTGGGCACTGGAAATTACACCTGTTGGCATGAGGTCACAGCAGTGCTCAGAGCAGGTAAAACGGGCGTATAAGTTACTGGTGCTTAAGTGTATGGCAGCTCATTTTTCTTAAGGTCTCTGTCATGTACTACTTCTCTCTGAGATCTTAATGAGAAGAAGTATTTTGGGGGTGATGATGACTTTGGGGGACAATGTAGGATCTTCACAAGGATGTGCCAAGTGGTTAACACTAGAGCTGCATGTAGCAGCCTCTGAGTAACGTGCATGGAGCCCAGGGATTTAGCCTGACAGCCTACCCCTTGCCCAGATCCTAGAACATCTCACCACTGGAATGCCTTGACATGGGAACTCATCTTCTCTGTCTGCCTGTTAGATATGGCCTCGGGGCTCCTGTATATTCATCCTGACATAACACTGCAGCAGGAACATGGCAGTGTACATCAGGGCCCACGGCTAGACGACAAAGCTAAGAGTGGGTTCCACTGGTGTCTCATGTGCCCAGACTTCATTATCTGGCCTGGCCCTCAAACATCACAAGAGACCGTGTGTTGTGTTATTTCACGTCACCCTGAACAAAGCATCCTTCTAAGGCAATGCATGAAAACACAGCTGTTAGTGTCCATTGATTCTATAATAAAATATGCCTTGCTTGGCAGTTTCTCTGCCTAAATCTATGCCATGTCCTAGCTCCTTAAAATTAAGTTCCCAGGCCTAAGAGCGGTGAGCCCCTCCTGCTGAACAAACAATGCCTTACAAATAGTATTTAGCATTTAGAACACTAAGATGTGCTTGAGCCTAATTTTGGAAGAAAGGCCAAGAAGTGACTTACTTTCCAAGTAACACAAAGAATCAGCTTGAACAACTGCTGAAAGCTTCGGGAAGGAAGAGTGGACATGGATGAAAGTTGCTGTGAGTTGGAGGGCACAGTGGGGCGTTGACAGCCTCAGTCCTGTCTCTATGCCAGGGCCCCTGAGCAGGGATCTTTATGGGAAACTAACAATAGTGGGATTCTTTTTCTCCAGTAAGCTTTAAAAGTGAAACTTTGCTGCCCCACATCTCATACTCACCTCTGTAAGAGCAGAACTAACAATATTTGTGGACTTGGGAGTTAGGAACACCAACTTGAAGCATTCGTCTGACTCACTGGTCTTGTGGAAGAGGCTAATTTGTCCAGGTCTAGGGAAAAGTCCCCATCTTCCATGTCCCTCTTTTGCTCTGCTGCCCTGGCCAGGCAAATGCACAAATGTCATAATTCTCTGCCTTCCCTGGCCTCTGGTCTTGCCCAGCCCATTCCTCCCTGAGAAACTTCCATTCCAAGAAAATCTGAAATAAAAAGAGGCCATTGACCTTGCTAGACAATCTGAAAGACTCAAGGGGCGTCTAACGGTTTGAGCTATGTGAAGTGTGCAAGGCTAAAACCGCAGGGAAAGCAACAAAGGACCAGTGAGGACTGACTGGCCTGGGGCATCTGGGCAGCTGCTTGGGCTCATCCACAAGGCTGCCGAGTGGACCCAGGACAGTGGCCTATACCCACCTGTGAGGTCTCTCCTCTCAGTCGGAAACACCTGGCAATATCGCATGGCTGGATTTGAATAGATAGAAGAAAGCATATTAAATCAGTTTATGCTGCCAATTGTAACATTTCTGCTTAAGCTGATAGCCAGTTGGCTACTAATGTGGTACAGAACGGCTGGAGTGAATAGACCAACGGCAGGACCAGTGAATTGGGCTTAGACTTTTTTTTTTCACTTCTGATATAGGTAAGAACTAAGAAAGCTAGCCATGAGTGCTTGCTTTTTCTTGGATGGCTTCCATCAGGACTGATTCTTTGACCAGAGCCTCAAGCTTTAAAGGAGATGGGTAAGCACAGGGAAGACCAATTTTCATCACATAGATTGGTCCATGGCTGGTGATGGACCTCGCTGTTCTTCATGGAAATGGGATCGGGTACCTTCCTCCTCTGGTCCCTTTGTTTTTGAGGGTAGATAACTAGGTTCCAACTGGGGTAGGATGCCTACAGTCACCAAAGATACAGGGGAGCTCTGGGCAGGGCATTTGGGAGTTGAGAAAAGGTGCCATTACACAGCCTGCACCTGGAGACCATGTCCCCTTCTTAAACAGGAGGTTTCTTCACAGTTAGAAGTAGCCATTTTCACCCTGAAGACATACCCAGGATTCCATGACTCTCCTGGCCTCTGGTGATTGGTATGGGTATTTGCACGTGCGTAGGGGCTGCTCCCCTCCTCCACATGAAGGAGGCACACCTTTTGGGCCAGGGCTCTGCTCCCAGCTGGCCTGTGAGTCACTACCTGCCTGGTCGCACTAGTCCAGGCACACGAAGGTCGAATCACCTTTTCCCACAACTTAGAGCCTGCTTGGCTTCCAGCCAGCCCACCAGAAGGATGGAGACACTCCGGTCATAGAGAACTCATTTCATTTGTGTGTAAATGGTTACACGCATATTAAACTCACTTAAAGGTATGTCCTCCACATTCATTAAGGCTATTAAAGTGGTGTACTTTAAACGAAATCCTATATAATCAAAATTACCAGATTATTGAGTTAACAGGAAATTTATCTTTGCAGAAAAACTAAGACTTTGATTTTTTCAAAATAGGACTAAACTGTTCATATGTATTAACCAAAAATAAAACCTACTGCTTTGCAGTAGAAACCACACAGCCAGTTTCCAAAAACAGAAATGCAGGGGTCTGGCATCAGTGTCTCCCCGCGCAGCAGTTAGCTCGGAGACAGGTTGCACCCAGTCAACCAGCCAGCAGAACACAGCTGTTCTAGCTTAGCCTTTGTCCCAATTCAGCCACTTGCACCCATGCTGATTCGAGTGTAGACTCCTCTAATTCCAAGCTGAGGGACATTCTCCAATAACATAGCAATCAATTTAATAAAGGAACTCACCAATGTCAAATTGCAATAAATTTACCAAACATTTTCACTGTTTATGGAGAGCTTTACAGTAAGAAAGTGTCGACAGAAGCAGGCACATCCGGGTACAAAGTGTTGCTGTTGGTTGGTCTTCACTTCTATTCCTACAGTTCCAACTGCTTTGTACTCTCAGCTGAGGTCCTCCGCACGAAATTCACCTTGGATAAGCGTTCTGTTCTTGCCCATTCGACCCAGGACCTCCCAGCGCAGTCCTGGGGGTACGGACTTGTCTAAAAGAAGTGTGATTGGCAAGCCCACCCCAAACATTTATTGTAAACTTTAAATGGAGTCCAGATACGAATGACATAGAAGGGAGACACCTCCTCACACAGAAAGGAGAATACCGGAGTGTCCTAGGGTCTCGCAGATCTCACAGGGCCGGACCAGAAAAGTGTCAAACCACGCGCAGGCACGACGCCAAGCAATGCCCGATTGCTGCCCTTTCGGGTGTCCCAGGCCGCTTGGGCCTGGACTCAGCAGGCCCGACTAGGCTCCCAAGGGCGCACCATCTCACAGGGAGGCCGACAGCAATAGGGGTAGGAGGCGTTGAGATCGGGGTCCGAGGGCGCGTACCCCGGCAGCTCCACCGACGGGTGCCCGCCACAGCACACCTCCACGCCCGCCTCGTCAAAGGCATGGAAGACGCCCACGTTGATGTAGGACACAGCGTGGTGCGCCGCGAAGCTCGCGCAGTCTCCTGGGGTGTTGAAGTCTGACTCCTCCGGGGACAGGATGGAGGCCTCGCTGGGTCGTGGCTGCAGCCGCCGCCCCCTTTTGCCCCGCCGGCCGCGCCGGGTCCGAGAGGCCAGCGACTGAGCGCGGAGCCCGGGTCCGCCCCGCGGCCGTGCCAAAGACCGGCTCGCCCTCCGCCGGCCGCGCCGACCGCGCCGGGCCTGCGAAGACTTGTAGTTCTTGACCAGCAGAAGGCTGAGCAGGCCCAACAGGCACTCGAGCGAGTTGAATACAGTGGAGAGCACCAGGCCGCGCTGGTAGTCCTTCAGCTGACGGCATTTGGCCGATGTGGCGCTGTCCAGGGTGCTGCGGGCGCGCGGCGTGCTGGAGCCCGGGGCTGCAGGGCCAGGGGCCGAACCGGGGACTGGGGCCGGCGCGCGCGGGGGCAGGCAATAGTGGGAGTACTTGCGTTCCACCAGGGACACTGTGTCGCCGTCGATCACTGCTCCCGCAAAGGCGCTGAGAACCCCGAGCATGAAGACCAGGACGCCTAGGAGCAGCAGGTTCTGGCTGTTCACCCTCCCCGAGGGCCCGGCAGCCGCCCGCGTCTCTCCAGGAGAGGGCTCCGGAGCGCCTGATGGAGATGCGGGGACCCCGAGTCCGGGGCCCGACCCGGCCCCTGACCCGGCGAGGGGCGCCTCCCGGGGCCCGCAGCACAGCAGGGCGGCGCCGAGCAGCGAGAGGCCGGCGGCCAACAGCAGCCCGGAGTAAAAGGCACCGGCGGCCGCCCCTAGCCGGAAAGGCTCCCCGCGCAGCTCAGAGCCCAGAGAGAAGCACTTGAGGCCGACGGCGGCGGCGCTGAGCGCGCAGGCGAGCAGCAAGCTGGAGGAAAGCGCGGCGCAGGCCCCGCGGACGCTCCACTTCATCCTCCGCGCCGGAGCCGGCCCGCACCCGGCGCGCCCGCCGCCGCCCGCCGCCGCCCCCGCCGCCTGCGCCTCCTCCCGGCGCCGCGCGGCCGGACCGCCGGCCTCCTCTTCATCCTCCCGCGTCCTCCCGAGCTCGCGCGGCCGCCACTGGAGCCCGCATCCTCCGCCTCCCGCCGCCGCCGCCGCGACCCCGCACCGGGAACCGAGCCGGCGCGGAAAACCGCAAGGCGCGCGCCCCCTCCCCAGACCGCGGCGCCGATCCCCGGACGCGCGGCCCCCCCCACCCGAGGCTCCGCGCGCCTCGCCCTGACACCACCCTCCGCGGCCCCCTCCCGACCCTCGGGCCCCTAGGACTCCCCTGAGGTCTTCCCCTTGGGAAGGGCCCCTCGCCAAGTCTCCGCCTTCCTTGTCCTCCCCCTGTCAATGTCACTGTCCAGCGCCCGCCGCCTTAGGAACTCCACTCCACCTGGGCCTTCTTCTCCAGGGACCCCCTGGGCCCCACCCCCAGGACCTCCCACCTCTGGAAGCCCTGCGTTTGCTTTCCCCCATCCGCTTGGCGGCTAGTCTCCACGCCCACCTGACTGGACCCGGAAGCTCCAAGAAGTTAGCAGGGGATTTCAGCAATTAGGGGTGGGTATAAGGGAGAGCCTGGGCGAGGAAAAGGGGAAGGGAGAAATGTCCAGAGGGAATAGAGGAGGGTGCGCAGGGTATTCGAGGATGGAGGACGAAGGGAAGTGTTGGCATGTAGAGCTGTGTGTTGTGTGTGTGCATGTATGAGGAATATGCATAGGCCTTAAAGTATGGGGTATGGAAGAGTGGTGTGCGCGTATGTGTTGTGTGGTGTGGGGAGCGGTATGTATTCCGAGAGTGCAGTGTAGTGTGTGCGGTGTCCAGATTTGCCGTATGGGAAGTGTGGTATGTGTGTTAAGTGGTGTATGTGCAGAAGGTGTGTTACCTTGAGATGCGTGAAGAGTATTGTAGGTGCTTAGGGGTTGTGAGTAGGGTGTGCGGGAGAACTAGCTGGAGATTTCTCTCCGAGGATCCAGCCACGGAGCAAGGCCCAGATGAAGTCTTGGGGGAGAACCTCAGGTGAGTTCAGCTTTGGGTCCAGTCCCGTTTCCAGATCTGGCAGAAAATTTCCTCACACGCAGGTGAACGAATTTGACCTGCGTTCGAGTGCGCTAGGGAGAGTGCTGTGGTCGCTCAATTCCGTACTTAGACCAATCGAGGCCTCCGGCAGCCCCGCCCTGACCCGCAATCCCGGGTGTGGGTGAGTCAGGCCGCCTGCGCAGCTTCCGAACCGCGGGTTGCAGAGGCTGTGCCTGAGGCTGGGGTGGAGAGAAGCGGGGTCCAGGGGTGGGGACGGGGACGCGGTGGAGAGAACGCGCCTGCGCATCGACCTTATGGAAGGTTCTGGTAGGTCAAAGGCCCAGGGGCTTTCCTACTTATTGTTAGAGACCTCCCCCCAAAACCAAGAATTGTATTGCCTGGGGAAGCTGAGCCCCTGCATCCGAGGCAGCACCGGGGTTCTCGCCCACCCTCCTAGAAGCCACTTGCTGGTGGGTGTATGGAGGCCTTCCAAAGACTCCCGGACGTTTGCGTGGGTTTCAGTTCGGCCCAGAGCTTCAGAAAGAGCGAACCAGCCTCTCTGTATTTTTAGCAGGCGGAGCAGAATTTGAAACAGCATCCTACCGATCCTGTGCCTGGTAAATGATGACTCGCCAGAAAGCAAAGACGCAACCCTGCCTCGGTGAGCTTGGCGCGTGGCCCAGGAGGCTCCGCGAGCCTGCGTGCGTAAGGATCGTGGCGCCCACGCTTGGGAGCAGAGCTCAGTGCAAACTTCCAATGGTTCTTCCAGTTTCCAGGGAAACGAGATTTGGAGCTGCTGCGTGTTGCAGAGCTCCCTCTGCTCCCCATGCGAGAGCCTTGCAAATGGCTGGGCTTGGAGAGGAAGGGATTGAGGACACCTCCTCTATGCAGGGTGAACTCTGACCTTAAGGTGGAATAATTGAGCGGGGCTATGGGGATTTCTTCTGCCATCAGAGGACTCATTGGCAACAGTTCTCTTCTGGGTTGCTCCTCCTCTAGATGGGCGCTGCCACCCCTCTGTCAATCTTCACATTTCCCAAACTAACCACAGGGCTCTTGTACACGATGTTCCCACTCCTGGGGCATATTCACATTCTATGACGATCCTCACCTGACATTGCTCCTCATTTCTCAAAATTTATCGTCATATTTCTTAATTGCCTCGGTTTTATCGGAAACCTGTCTGATCCAGTTTTGACCTCTGTTTTCCCCAGATGGGCTTTCTATGAGTGTATTGGTTACTGCTGGAATTGGGACTGAACCCCCCCCCCCCCCCCGGCTCAGTGCACAGGCTATCGTTCTCCCGCTGCCTTCCGGACTCCAGCCCCTATAGAGGATCCCATAGCACAGGATTTCCCTGTAGTACAAATATGTGTTCCCTATCAGATGGGACTGGAAACATCAGGGTAAGGGCAGTTCAGTTCCATCTGCTTGGATGTTTGCGTGTCTGTGGTGGAGTAAACGTTGATCTGGTTCGGCCGGAAGCATTAGGTCCAGGAACTGGAATACAGTTGTCTCTTCAGCATTTGGAATAAGGGAAGTCACGCAGAGAACCTAACAGGGCAGCTGCAGGGAGAGGGGAACTCTGCTGAGAAGAATAAGCTCAGCCAGCTCAACTCTATACTGAGGGCAAGGGCACCACAAGATTGCAGGAGAGCATTCCGGTGTGTATTGAGGCGCTCTGCTGGAATCTGGAAAAACCAGAGGAACTCTCTCCCTACTTCAGCATACTGGTAGGTACAATCACCCAGCAGTTTCTGCCCAGCATGAGGGACAGTCTGCGGTCCCATGACATCTCGACTAAGAGTGACATTGAAACTTACCCTGTAGGACTTTAGAGCAGACTGAGGTGCTTTATGCCAGGATCCTTTCACCGAGGAAGAGCTCACCATGATCTACTATGAGCCCTCTTCAATCTCTGCTTCCGCTTAATTTCCCATTTATGCCAAAGAGGAGACCCAGGGTAGCTGTAGTCTAATCGAGTGACCTGGTGGACTCAGAGGCAGGGAGGAGAGCAACTCCAGAGAGAGAGAGAGAGAGAGAGAGAGAGAGAGAGAGAGAGAGAGAGAGAGGNGAGAGAGAGAGAGAGAGAGAGAGAGAGAGAGAGAGAGAGAGAGAGAGAGCCCGCACCACACCAGACTGGAGAGGAATCATCAGCTACTGACCAAATTCCCAGAGCCTGGGTGGGTCGGGTCTGGCAGCCTCCTGGGGCAGGTATCACCATCCCACACTGAAAAGCGCTAATCCCAGGAAATACATAGCAGAAATAGAACAGCAATTATGTCTTAAGGACTATTTTCCTATCACCTTTGAGTCTTATTTTAGTATTTACATGTTTGCTAGCATTGATTCAATTGCTTCAAATAATTGATGATTGATTCAATTATTTGAGCTCTTATTTATCTCTACTCCACCACTTTTTAAAGTATTTTTGTTCTTTATTTTACAGCCTATGTCTTAGGCTACCTTCTTTAACTCTAATGGAATACCATACTGTCTACAAAGAACAAAGATTTATTTGGTTCACAGTTCCAGAGGTGCTTGCAGCTGTGAAGTCCTTGTGCTGTACTGTGCCATGGTGTGGGGCATCACATGGCAAGACAGAGCAATCAAAGAGTCCCTTCCATGACAAAACCGCTCAACTAATTACATCCCAAATGTCCCGCCACACCCCGTGAACATATGACTTTGGGGGTTGTATTTCTAGCTCATGAGTTCTGAGGACAAGTGTTCACACATCCTACTAACCAAATAACTGAAATTTTTATTGTTACCCTCACCCCATTTTCCCGGGAATAGCCATGGTTAACCTGTTTCTTCAGATAGACAGTACAGGCATCTCTATGAAAAACACCCCATGAGCCTTCCAAAGAACTCAGTGAAACCATGGTCATGAGTTCTCAGAAGTGGATGTAGACATGTTTATTATTTTAAAAGCTTGTGTTTTACAGAATATAATCACAGGAAATATTAAATAGTCATGTGACATCTTCATGACATTTAAATAAGTTTATCCTAGCTTCATCCAAGATACAAGACTGAAGAGCCTGAGGATGCAGCCCAGAGCCTGTTAGCCCCCCAGTCCTGTTTTCCTGCATTTGTTTAGATATTTATTAGGAGAGGCACATTCCTATTCATTGTAGTTGGCTTGGCCTGGTTTTGTTTTTGTTTGTTTATTTAGTTTTGTACAGTGAATCTGTGTCTGGCTCCTTTTGTTCTCTATATGTTTGTCAAGTGTGTTCATAATGTTGTGCTCAGCTATAGCTCACTCATTGCTGGTTACAAAGCCCGGTAACTTCTCCGTTTCACGGCAATAAGCATCATGTTGCTGCTAGTTTGGAAATATTTGTGTGTTCTGAATCATTGAGACATGCAGTTGAGTAACCTGAGAGTGAAGTCGCTGGGTTGTGAGTAATACCATCTTTACTTTTTTCCCCTTTAGGCGCTGAGGTTCAATTATGAACAATAAGAACCACTGATTTTAACTGTGCAGTTCCATGAGTTTGAACGATTGCATACATTTATACAAACAACCACTTCATGACTCAGTACTGCTTCCCCCATTCCAGGTCCATGCATTATAGCTCTTTGTTTATTTTTGAGACAGGGTTTCTTTGTGAAGCCCTGGCTGTCCTAGAACTTGCTTCATAGACCAGACTGATCTCAAACTCACAAAGATCTGCCTGCCTCTGCCTCCCAGTTGCTGGGATTAAAGGTGTGCACCACCACCATTCAACAGTGCACAATAGTTTTCATTACAGCATTTCGTATGCATGGAATCATGCAGTGGACAATATTTTCTGGTTTCAGTGCCTTTCAGATTTATTCATACTCTTGCATGAACCGTGAATTGTTTATTTTTTAAAGATTTATTTATTTATATGTATACACCGTTCTGTCCATATGCATGT